ACGAAGGAAGAGGGAGAAAGAAAATTATGAACTCTATAACCGAGCGAAGAGTTATACATCAAGTGAAGATTGATCCTAAAATTAGTGCTCCTAAAATTGCAGCCAGTACCTCTAATACCTTAGGTCGATCGGTTTCTACAGAAACGGTACGAAGAGTCCTAAGAAAGGCTGGCTATAATGGTAGAGTAGCTCGAAAAAAGCCCTTAATTGGTAAGAGGAATAGAGTCAAGCGATTGAAATTCGCTAAAGAACACATTTTAAAGCCTCGACAGTTTGGGGAACGAAGTCATTTTCAGCGATGAGAGTAAGTTCAACATCTTCGGCAGTGACGGTCGTCGTATGGTGTGGCGTAAACCAAATACCTCACACCACCCAAAACACACAATTCCTACTGTGAAGCACGGAGGTGGGTCGGTGATGGTTTGGGGGTGTATGGCTGCGTCGGGGGTGGGAAAGCTAGTATTCATCGATGGAATCATGCACAATATGGCTTATCTTAATGTACTGCAAAATAATTTGAAAGAAAGTGCTGATAAATTGGCACTGGGGTCGAATTTCATATACCAGCAAGACAATGATCCCAAGCACACTGCGTTTGTTGTAAAAGAATGGCTGCTTTACCATTGTCGGAATCAACTTAATACACCTCCACAGTCTCCCGACTTAAATGTTATTGAGAATCTGTGGTCCCACCTTGAGAGAGCTGTGCAAAAACATCAAATTACAAGCAAGGAACAATTGAAATCGGTATTGCAGGAAGAATGGCTGAATATTACTCCCGATACCTCTAGACATCTTGTGGAATCGATACCTCGGTGATTGGAAGCTGTCATATCAGCAAAAGGTTATGCTACTAAATATTAACTCTTTATTATTCATGATTTATGCAGGAAAATAGATGCATGTACTCTCAATTTTGTGGCTATCAATTTCTGTTAATTTTCTTTATAAGTTATTATATGTATGTTTAAACTATCAAATATTTTGTTTTATCCTACAAAATAATGAATTATGATCTAATAAACGCATCTATGCTTAAAGGTTTTAATTATTTCCCTCATTTAATATAATTTTTTCATTCTAAACATTGATTCCCGTTTTAAGAGTAGGTGTACCCTCAATTTTGGGAGTAACTGTACATGCCGCGACGCCTTAAAACTTCTTGAGGCCCTACCTTCGACCCTTTTAAGCAGATAATAAATAACATATCTTGTCAAATACTCGTGTAATCAATAACAAATAAAGTGAGTGATACTAAGGTGACCAACCGTCCTCCTTTTATAGGTTCTGTCCTTCATCGAAAAGTGTCCTCCTTTTCAATATTTTAAAACTGATCTGTTTATCTCTGTATTCAGAGATGAACCAAACATGTTTCCAAAATGTCGAAGAATAGTCTGAAACAAATATCACAGGAAATAACAGTTTTCAATGGTATTTTTTGACTTGGTCTCAAGTTAAGTGGCCAGATATAGAAAATTACGTTGAGTTTTGATATTAAAATCGATGACAATGGTCTGTTTGAAGCAGAAAGAAGACTGAATGTATATTTAAATTCTAATAAATTTAAACAATTGAAAAATCAACATACTCAGAAATTGGTAAAAGATGGCTGATATTACTTAAACCATTTCAAAAATGAAGACATTCCATACGAAAATGTAATTATTCTTGTTGAATTTACGTTGTGCTGCCCTGGAACTAATGCAGCAGTTGAGAGGTTTTTTTTCAGTTGGTAAAATGATTTTTGTGAAACGACTCGTGAGAAATCAAAATTGAATGTTAATATTTCAGCTACAGTGCTTACCGTAAAATTGAGCATGAAGGATATTTTTTGCCCAAACTTTCCGATATATTAGAAAAAGATATGTTGACTAAAAAAAAAACGAGTCTTACAGTAGTCGCATATGATGTGTAACATCAGACATGTTATTGTGGTAAATACGCAATATTAACTTTTTTCCTGAAAAAAATATGAATCGGGTATGATTGGAATTTCTATCGAATAATTATACAGTTACTCCCAAAATTGAGGGTACACCTACTCTTAAAACGGGAATCAATGTTTAGAATGAAAAAATTATATTAAATGAGGGAAATAATTAAAACCTTTAAGCATAGATGCGTTTATTAGATCATAATTCATTATTTTGTATGATAAAACAAAATATTTGATAGTTTAAACATACATATAACTTATAAAGAAAATTAACAGAAATTGATAGCCACAAAATTGAGAGTACGTGCATCTATTTTCCTGCATAAATCATGAATAATAAAGAGTTAATATTTAGTAGCATAACCTTTTGCTGATATGACAGCTTCCAATCGCCGAGGAATCGATTCCACAAGATGTCTAGAGGTATCGGGAGTAATATTCAGCCATTCATCTTGCAATACCGATTTCAATTGTTCCTTGCTTGTAATTTGATGTTTTTGCACAGCTCTCTCAAGGTGGGACTACAGATTCTCGATAACATTTAAGTCGGGAGACTGTGGAGGTGTATTAAGTTGATTCCGACAATGGTAAAGCAGCCATTCTTTTACAACAAACGCAGTGTGCTTGGGGTCATTGTCTTGCTGGAATATGAAATTCGACCCCAGTCCCAATTTATCAGCATTTTCTTTCAAATTATTTTGAAAGATATAAGCCATCTTAAGATAAGCCATCTTGTGCATGACTCCATCAATGAATACTAGCTTTCCCACCCCCGGCGCAGCCATACACCCCCAAACCATCACCGACCCATCTCCGTGCTTCACAGTAGGAATTGTGTGTTTTGGGTGGTGTGAGGTATTTGGTTTACGCCACACCATACGACGACCGTCACTGCCGAAGATGTTGAACTTACTCTCATCGCTGAAAATGACTTCGTTCCAAAACTGTTGAGGCTTTAAAATGTGTTCTTTAGCGAATTTCAATCGCTTGACTCTATTCCTCTTACCAATTAAGGGCTTTTTTCGAGCTACTCTACCATTATAGCCAGCCTTTCTTAGGACTCTTCGTACCGTTTCTGCAGAAACCGATCGACCTAAGGTATTAGAGGTACTGGCTGCAATTTTAGGAGCACTAATTTTAGGATCAATCTTCACTTGATGTATAACTCTTCGCTCGGTTATAGAGTTCATAATTTTCTTTCTCCCTCTTCCTTCGTTATTTGCCAGCATACCAGTCTTTTTAAATTTTTGCAGGATTTTTGGATGCAGTTAACACTTCGCCCAACTACTTTAGCATATTTCGCTGGGAATTACCTTCATTTGACAATTTAATAACAAGTTTTCTCTCTTCGATCGTCGTTTCCTTCCCATTCTCCATTTAAATAAAGACATCAAATCACAAACATAAATTTATTATCAGATAGCATTTGAAAGCCTTCATTTATCATAGATCTATTATCAAATTTCTATTGAAAAAATTACTGGTCGTTTTGCATAGCGATTAAAGAAGTGTACCCTCAATTTTGTGACATTAAAATGGTGTAGTTTTTCTTTCAAACCTTCATATTTTTGTTTCAATCAATTTCCATATCTTACATTTAATGTTATTTGGAAGAGTTATGTATGCATTTTGAATGTACAAAAGTGCGTTAACATAGCGTATTAATTTCTACACCTGGTGATCCGATGGTGAATTCGGAATTAAGTGTACTCTCAATTTTGGGAGTCACTGTATATATAAAGGGTGTTTTTTTAGAGGTATAGAACTTTAAATTGCAATAAAACAACGATGTATTATTCGATTGACATGAATTTTTTTTTATTCGAAAGAGAATCTTGTGGTATTACATTTTAAATATTTCTGGCATAGGACTGCCACGGCTGCCTCGGATGTAGTCCAATCTTGACGTCCAATTTTCGATGACTTTTCCCAACATTTGTGGCCGTTAATCGGCAATAACACGGCGAATGTTCTCTTCCAAATGGTCAAGCGTTTGTGGCTTATCCGCATAGACCAATGACTTTACATAGCCCCACAGAAAATAGTCTAGCGGTGTTAAATCACAAGATCTTGGAGGCCAATTCACAGGTCCAAAACGTGAAATTAGGCGGTCACCAAACGTGTCTTTCAATAAATCGATTGTGGCACGAGCTGTGTGACATGTTGCGCCGTCTTGTTGGAACCACAGCTCCTGGACATCATGATTGTTCAATTCAGGAATGAAAAAGTTAGTAATCATGGCTCTATACCGATCACCATTGACTGTAACGTTGTGGCCTTCATCGTTTTTGAAGAAGGATTCCACCATCCCATAAAGCGCACCAAACAGTCAGTTTTTCTGGATGTAACGGTGTTTCGACATACACTTGTGGATTAGCTTCACTCCAAATGCGACAGTTTTGTTTGTTGATGTAGCCATTCAACCAGAAGTGCGCTTCATCGCTAAACATAATTCGCTTATGAAAATCGGGAACAACGGCAATCTCGTTTTGGGCCCATTCGACGAATCTACGCCTTGCTTGGTCATATTTAAAATGTAATGCCAGAAGATTATCTTACGAATAAAAAAAATTCATGTCAATCGAATAATACATCGTTTTTTTATTGCAATTTAAAGTTCTATACCTCTAAAAAAACACCCTTTAAATATATATATTACTTTTTTTTTTATTTTAGCGTACAGATAAAAAGTTAAAGATAACATAGAATTAACTCTTTCAGTTCATTGTAATGTGTGCTTTTATACACCATAAGTAATATAAAAAAATTTCAAGTTAATTCCTTCTTAGGTCAACAAAGAAAAATGCTATTTTATTCACTTTTTAATAAATAGTTACAATTCATATACATATTCATATACATAAAACAGAATCACGCTATTAATTGACAAAATAGAAAGCGATTTTCCATTTTCCTTTCTATATTAGGGAGTTGGACTATTTTTTGTTTGTTTGTCACTATTTATGCATTCATAAAGTTTATATATATATATATATATATAATTATCCTCATAATATAATATAGTATAGTAAAAAGAGAAATCACACATTCTCAGAAATTAGGCTATTCAAGGTGGGATTTGAGTCCATGACCTTTGGATCGGGAGTTCAACGCGCTATCCATTGCTCTACAAGAACACAACAAACGATTTTCCTTTCTATATATACTGCTGGACTATTATTTTTATTTGTTAATATTTGTTCATTTTTTAATTTAATGAATGAAAAAACTGTATTAACATCAAGTGTCATCCACTACAAGTGTTAAAAAATGTATTTGAACTTGTAGAATAGAAAGTATTATATTAGCGATTGAAAATTTGAACTAGATATATTTATATAAATAAATATAACTTAACTTAACTCAGTGTCGCAACAGCCCATGAGGGCGAAGGCCTACTATGCTCAACTCAGTATACGTGACCATGGGCCCTACGGTGCATGAACAAATGTTCCGGTCAGGTGGTCAGCCTGACGCGAAACCCCCAAAGTTAAGTCCCCGAGCAAACTTGGTACTCATTTATCGACGCAATAAAGGAATGAAAAACTGAATTAACCTTGCCCAGTCCGGGGTTTGAACCTTGAACCTGCAGTATGGAAGTGCGATGCGCTAACCATTTAGCCATTGGGCTTTTATAAATAAATATATATAGATAGATTGGGAGAGAGAGAGAACTAATAGTAGGAATTGGAAAAAAACGCGCTGTTATTTCAATTTAGAACAATAGTCGTTACAAAATTTTTTTGTCCACACTATTAATTGCTTTGTATAGCACAAGTACATAGTGACAAAATATCCCACCCATCAATAAAACGAAAACTAACCGGGGGAAAAAAAAGATTCTAAACATCCTGGGAAAGCGATCCTCGCCCAGACGATACATTTTCCCTCTTTAAACATCCGATCATGGGAACATTCCACTTATAGATTCACACAGTTGCAAAACCTTTGGGCTTTTACAAAGCGGCGTGCTTCGAGAAATCCCAAGAGGCTACTTGCGCTTTTGAAAACCAGGACCCTGGATTGAGTCTCACCAAGAGAGCCACTCGAAATGTGTGGGGTGAGAGGGCGTGCGACCTCCCCTTTTGCGCTCCTCGTAATCGCCGATTATCGTCTGTCGAAAAACGAGCGATCGTGGAAACGAGAGTGTGCGTGCGTTCAGCAACTTTTCGAAAAAGTGAAGTCTAACTACATTCTTATTGCGTAATTTTAGAATAGATTAGGACATTGAATATTTTCTTTTTAAATTTATGTATTTGGTTTTTTGTTTACATAAAAGAACTAAGGGGGCAAGTGAATTTAAGGGAGCTTTCATATACAATCATAGAACAGAATTTGAACTCATTTTTGTGCGAAAAAATATTACATCAAAACAAATTCATGTGATTTTACTATATACATGTCGCAGGGAAATGACGAAATTAAAAATTTCATCAAATCCTTAAGGGGTATGATCAATTGACGGGAGATGTTAAAATAACGTCTCTTCAATGTCATTTTCCTGATAAAAGTTAGTGATTTTATCAAATCCCTGAAATGTTTCAGTGAAATGATGAACTATTCAGGATTTGCATTGGCAAAATGCTGTCCAGGGGGCGAGACAACTGGGTGGGGGTCGATTCCTTGTACGTCTTAACCATACAGGAAGTACTATCGATCCCCTAAATATCTCAACCCCATATCTTTAAAAAAATGGCACCATAGGATTAACATAGGGATTGATATTTTAGTGTGTAAGTAACCGAGAGAGGAAAGATGTTACACACACACAACAAAAAAATACCAACCTAATATTCTAATTATTTGTTTATTAGTTTCGAATAAATATAATTTGTATTTCATTAACTATTGTTGTATTACTTACTTCTACGTTTAATAATCACCCTATTTGTTAAATAAACATTTTTAAACTCTTGACAATATTATTTCATCATTTCCCTGACACAGATCAGGGATTTGTTCATATCCCTTACTTTTATCAGGGAAATGACCTCCAAGAGAGACGTTATTTTAAGATCTCCCGTCAATTGATCATCTCTCTTAGGGATTTGATGAAATTCCTAGTTTCGTCATTTTCCTGCGAATTATATTTATTTATCCATTTAGGATTCCATTTGGTTTTTAACTGTAAGTCATACTGTGGAGCAACACGAAGGCTATTGGCAACGAACCTCGTGTGGTCGCGATAGCTTAGTGGTCAAGGTCACGGACTCATGGCTGGCGTGTCATGAGTCCGTGACAAGTGACGAGGACGATACCTGAACTGGCACCCCTCCTCCCCTAACTACCACACCAACGGGAGGACGTTTGAGCTCTCGACAGATTTAACATGCATCGCTCTACTACACAGCGTGTCTTCAGTGGTACTGGGCTCGAACTCGTGACTCGTAGTTGCAGATCAGTTCCATGTATAGATAAACTGAGGGTAAATGGATAAGTGTGGGTGAGTGTTTATTAACAGCAATACGAGAATAACGGTGACGGGCCTCGTGATTTTGATGCTTGACCGGGGGCTGCGGTAGCTCAGTGGTCAAGGTATCGGATCATGGCAGGCATGTCATGAGTTCGAGCCCAGTAATACTAAAAACCCGCCGTGTAGGGCAGCGATGCACATTGCATCTGTCGAGAGCTGAAACGTCCTCCCGTTGGTGTGGTGGGGTAGTTAGGAGAGGGGGTGCCAGCTCAGGTGTCGTCCATATCACTTGACCATGGTTCAAAATTACGTGGTCCGTCGCCAAAAGCCCTCGTGTAGCTGAACAGTGCGACGTTAATATTCACTCACTTTGAAGCTCGACCACGTGACGAGAACGACATCCAAGCTGCCCCTGTCCGAACATCCACACTGCAACAATAGGAGAACATTTAGCCTCTACAGATTTAAACGTGCATCAACCCGTCTACGCGGTGGGTCTTCAGAGGTACCAGGACTCGATCCCCTTACACTTCTAACGAGACCACGAGTTCGTGACCATGATCACGTGGTACTGTCTAAGTCGAAAAAATGAATCGAGTTTCCGTAGAAAAGTATTCATTGCATTTAAAAAAAAACACGTACTTATGCTTAGAAACGATTTAATCCATCCCCAATAATTCATTCTATTTCTAAACTGTTCAGGAACTAAATTCATCTTATCCAGAAATGTCAAAAAGATTACCAAGACTAAAGCGACGCCGACACTGAGTATGTTTGTAAACATTCTCAAAAAACACAGGCATCTTATTCAATATTCTAATTTATCATAATTAACCGACTCCTATTCTCAACATGTAAGACCTTTACATTGGAAAGCTGTAAAAATACAACCGGAAGCGTCTAATCTTTACTCTTGTATACAATCATAAATTGAATTAATTACAAATAAAAACGTTAATTAAATTAATGACTCATTCAATACTAATCGCCTTTGTCGAATTTTATTTATTCCATAGCTCCGACAACCCCTTCTGCACCCGAGAGGCAATCGATTGTTGCTGTCTCTTTTGTTTCCCTGAAGAACGTCTCGCCTCCAGATGACCTGTTGTTGATGTGAGTCACCCCGCAATCGGAGGAACGGCCAAAAGAAAGGGCAATTACGTAATTGCGAAAGAAATGCGGTTGCGGTGCTTTATTCTTCTCACTGGTGCATGAGCGGGACGAGAAACGCGAAAGAATGCAAGAAAGTTGCAGTTTCGGTGGTTGAGGCAGAGGCTGGACATAAAACGTTTCTTCAACCGTTATTAAAGAAACTGTCATCTGTTTTTATGTGAATTATTACCGGAGACCTTCAGGGTGATACATATAAGTGCTTGTTACAATGTTATGCTTGCGTGTAAAAAAATTATTCTAAATTTGTTTTTGATTGCTAGAGAATAAATAGAATGGGAGTTTGGAAGTTGATTAGAGAGAATGAATAATACCTCAGAGTAAATTCGAGGGACTGCAGTACATATACCGTCGGATCTCTATATAACGAAGTCGCTAAATCCCGAAAAAAAGTTCGTTATATAGAAAATCCGTTATATAGAGGTTCATCTTTCAGTTTTCTTTATAAACCACATAAAAAACAAATTTTAAAATTCATAAACACTATATATTAAAAAAAGTAATTATTCACACCTTTTTGTAAATTAATACATATTTATTTTATATATCTTACATAAAAAAAAGAAGAAAAACCGTTCGAAAAATTTCATGACGCCTTAATTTACTGCCTTAAGAATTAATTCTTTTTCTTTGATGCACAAGCACTTACGTTTTGACATTTTCGAGCTACAAGAAACGAAGTTACCAATACGGCTGATCAACACTACAAATGAACGGAAACTAGTTCAATGACACGAGACTCCACTGAGGGTGAAAGGTGATATCGAAGATGTTTCCAGTGAACTGGACAATGGAGGTTAAAGGTTGCACTTCTTGGATGGAATGCTCAGAATTTTATAGCTCTCGGCGAGTTAGGCACCTAATAAAACCAGTTCAAGATTTATGACCACCGTAAAATGGACTAAAAGAGAGAAAATACACTTCGCTATTGGGAGGTTATTTTACGAAGAAAATCGTGAAATGTCCTTGGTTCCCGGAAAAAGTTCGCTATACAGAAAAATTTACAATATAGAGGTTCGTTATAAGGAGGTTCGACTGTATTTATGAAAAGTGCTTCCTTCCTTCCTCAATGACTCGACAGCTCAGGGTGGACCTTGGCCATTTCGAGAAGTCTTTTCCAGACCAGCTTTCTTCCTGCTAGTGTTCTCCAATTCTTAGTTCTCAAAACTAGGAGATCTTTTTCTAAGCCATCAATCCATCTAAGATTTGGCCTGCCTTTCTTTCGTGTATCAATTGGTTGGGCATTGAAGACTTTTTTAGTGGTGCAGTCGTCGTCCATTCTGATAATGTGACCTGCCCATTTAATTCGTTATATTTTGATGAAGTTAACGATGTCTAATTCTTTATATGATTGATAGAGCTCGAAATTTGATCTTCTTCGCCACGTTCCATTTTCCTGAATTCCTCCAAAAATAAATCTTAAAATATTCTTCCTTTCGTAGATATCATGTTCTGTAATATGCGTACAATTTTAAAATTTTGCATGTTAGTGTGTAGAGCTGAAAAACACGTTAGGCATTAAAGTATAAGAGACGAAATATATGTATTCCGTGC